TATCATGTTAACCTTCCTCTCAATGGTTAGGCAAAGCAAATTGAACCATATTTGGTTGCTCAATGTCACTAAAGTTGATGACATTCTTTTCCATCAACCTCTGAACAATCCTTTTAAAGGAAGTTTAATTTTCAATTGGATTACCAGGAATCCCTGTAAGGTATTCACATTGAGCATTAGCATCATACCATTTATGATACGGGGTTTTCAAAGGTGACACGTGATAGGGTGCCACTACATATCTATCTTATATGTCCTATAATGATTCTTTTGAACTGAAGTTTCTCCTTTTCTTTTCTAGGATCCCTTAACTCTTACGTCGTATTTTTCTGTGTGGGTGACCTTGTTGCTTGAGGTCAAGATACTATGAAGTTGTTGGAAGCTCCAGACTTGTATTTACTCAGATTATTAACCTAGTTATCTTTTCTCCAAACTAGAGGTTTCTTAGCAGCTTTACCTCTATCTAATCTTCCACGATTGATGGCCATTTTTATCATCTCTCTAGATATAACCATATCAACAAAACTTTTGGATGAATTCCCTATTATATTCCTTAGGAAAAGAGCCCTTAATGTGCTAACGAAAAACATGTTTGTTCCCTCCTCCTCAAGTGGGGGTGAATTTTTACAACTATATCCCTTTATATTTAAGTGTATTACATGAAGTTCTCATTTGGTTTCTTTTCCATGCTTTGTAGCATGATTCACTTAGGACTGGTATCTTTTACATGCTTGTATTTCTTTAAGAATGCCTTAGCTAGGTCCTGCTATGAGTGGATGTGATTTATGCTCAGCTGATTATACCATCAAGTGCTCGAGCATGTTAAGATTTCTTGAAAACAATGTATTAACATCTAGTTGTCCCCTATGTAACTTGTCATCTTCCTGTAGTACATCGTGATGTGAGTAGAGGTGCACCTCGTGCCATCAAGTTTTTTAAAAATAAGGGATTTTAAATTTATAAGGCAAGATCAAATCAGGCACTAATCTCAGTTTCTTAGCATCAATTCCATATGTATCATTCTCTTCTTTTATAGCTTTGATTTGATCCTCCAACTACTTTCATATCTCTTCCATTTGTTTGTGTTGCTAAATCCTAGCTTCCTCATCAAAATCTAGGACATACTCAAATTGATACTCTTCTTGATGTTAGCTCATTATTTTTTGCAAGTTCATGGATGTGCTAGTTGGATTAATATGCATTTTCTTGCATGAACTAGGGTTTCTTGGGGAGCTTTGGGATGAGCCAGGATTAAACCTAGAGGGTAAGGTGATCATTTTGTAGAGTTTTAACTACTAGATTTTTTCCATGTGTGGTGTTCCTTCCGCAAGTAGATTAGCAAAACTTTTGAGCATATTTTCTTGGGCCTTCAATATTATATCTTTTATTCTCGTTTTTAGGGACACATCTTCTAAAAATTGATCATTGTATTGCTTGAAAAGGTATGACTCGTCCTAGTGATAAACTATAATTTCTTGTAAGAACTTCTTCATTCCTTGGCGATTAAGATCTGATGGTATCAAACCAATTACCAAGTAATTAACAACATCAACATATTAAGGCAATGCTTCAATTACAAGAAGTCTTTCATCTAGGAAATGATCGGGAATTATAATTATTTTTGCATATTCACTACTTGATTTCAAATGAGATAAATGGTCAGCCACTTAATTATTGGATCCCTTCTTATCCCTCAATTCAATGTAAAACTCTTGAAATAACAACACCCAACATAGTAGCCTCGGCTTTGTGTCTCTCTTAGCGAACAAATGTTTCAATGTTGAGTGATCAGGGTAGGCAATCCCCTTCGTTCCAACAAGGTAAGATATGAATTTGTCAAAGGAAAATATGATAACAAGTAGTTCTTTCTCGATTGTTGTGTAGTTAACTTGAGCTTTATTCAAAATTCTGTTAGCATAATGTATAGTATGGAAAATTAATTTTTTTTGTTTCCACAAAACTACAAGAACAACTTGAGCACTAACATTATACATTGGTTTGAATGGAAAATTCCAACCAAGTGACAGTACAATAGGAGTATTTATCAAGTTCTTCTTTTCTTAAAGGAAATAAGAAATTCATCATCAACAAAAAAATTCCTAATTTTCTCTAAGAATGAATAAAGTGGTCTAGCAATCTTAGAAAAAACCTTAATGAATCGTCAATAAATCTAGCATGCCCTAATAAACTTCTTACTCCTTTCATAGTTGTGGGTGGTGACAACTTCTTAAAAACTTCCACTTTAGCTTTATATACTTCTATGTCATGATGAAAAATACAATGCCCTAGCATTATGCCTTAGTTACCATAAAGTGGCATTTCTCCCAATCTACCACAAGATTGGTCTCTTCATATTTCTTTAACACAGTGGTTAAGTTGTCAAGGCATTGATCGAATCTTTGGCCAAAAATTAAAAAATCATCCATGAATACCTCAAGAAAGTCTTCAACCATGTCAGAAAATATAACTATTATAATTCTAAAACATTGTTGGAGCATTTCAAAAATTAAAAGACACTATTCTAAAAGAGAATATGCCATAAGGACATGTGAATGTAGTTTTCTCTTAGTTTTAAGGTGCAATTTCTGTTTGATTTTAGCCACTATAGCCATCAAGAAAATAATAGAATGTTTTGTCAGCAAGTCTATCTAGCATTTGGTCGATGAGCTACAATGGAAAATGATCATTTCTTGTGACTTTGTTAAGCTTCCTATAATCCATACATATACACAAACCAATAGCGTTGCATGTAGGAACTAAATTATTCTTCTCATTGGAAACAATGGTGATGTCGCCTTTCTTTGGAACACAATGAACATGACTCACCCAATTAATGCCTGAAATGGGGTGGATGATTCCAGCATCCAACCACTTCATGATTTCCTTTATAACCACCTCTTTATTATAGGATTTAACCTTATTTGCTACTCAATAGAGCTACTTTTGGGATATTCCAATAATATCTTATGAATACAAAAGGCTAGACAAATTCTCTTGATGTTAACAATGCTCTAAGCAATTTCTTGCTTATGTTGTTTTAGAACATTAATAAATTGTTCCTCATGCGATGCTACCAATTTTACAGTAACAATAATAGGTAGAGTCTCGTATTCCCCCAAGAAATGCGTACTTTAAATGATTGGGAACAAACTTTAATTCAAGGGTGGTGGATCTTCAATAGAAGAGAAATGAACATGAATAGGTTGGGATGGAAGCTCAAATGAAACAAAGTGTTACATGTAATTTCCTTCAACCTCCTCATTCTCGTCTTGTTCCTCTATTGTCACAACATTAGCCATGGTAATATAAATGTTATGACAATCATCCTATTGCTACTGTACAAAGCCATCAATAATATCAATATTATAGCACACAACGTTGTTATTCACTATCCAATATGATGAAATCAATGGAAAATAAATTCGTTCACTTGAACTAGCATATTTTCAATAATTCCACCAGGATACACGGTAGAACTACTGACAAGTTGAAGAGACACTGTGGTAGGCCTTGATTCTCCACTTCTAAATTTGTTAAAACTTGATAAAGGTGTGAGGTTAATGCTAATATCTAAGTCACATAATGTTTTACCTACAAATTGATCATCAGTAATGCAAGAAATAGTAAAACTCCTTAGATCTTTGAGTTTTGGTGGCAAGAGGCTTGTAACCATAGGAACTACATCCCTTAGTGAGTGCAATTATTTCAAATTCTCCAAGCCTTCTCTTATTTGAAAGAACTTCCTTCATGAAATTGATGTAATTTATATTTTTCTCTAATGTATCAATCAATAGGATATTGATTATCAATTGCCTTAACACATCAATGAATGCATTGAACTGTTGATTCTTCTTTGTATTCTTGAATCTTTGAGGAGAATGTGGTGGAGGCCTTAGATTTAACTATCTTAGAATTGGTGGTGGCATTATAGGCATCAATGTTTTCGTCATTGGTGCTGGAAATGTCCCTAAATTTCTACATTTTCTATATCATTTCCTGTAACATTCATAGTGGTTGTCTCAATATTCACTTCCAATTCCTTGTATTTCTTTTGCTATTTAAGCCTCTTATCATCCTTATTCTTAGACTCTTCAGTCAGATTTCTTGTATGGAGACCACTTTTTATTGTGATGGCCTCACAATGTACATAACATTAAGCTTTCCCAAGTGCCTTTGGGACTTTGGTGTCACATGGCAATGTTTCTTGTGGTCTATTGCTTATAGCATTTGGTAGCTGTCCTAATTGATTCTCTAAATCTCTTAGTGATGTTTTTTGGTTTTGGATCACCACTTCATTCCTTGATATATACTTATTCAGTACAGATTCAAGGGAAGTTAAGGTGGAAGCTTGGTGGGAATATTGCCCTTGATAATTTTGCTAGTTGTGGCATTGATATGGTTGAATTCTCTAATATTGTTATTGATGCTGATGTGCCATCTAATATTTTTTGTATTATTGCTATGGTTGATAATGCTATTGTGAATTACCAAAGTTTGATTGGAATGCAATATTGAGATTTTCTATATTTTGGTTCATTCAAGAAAAAATAGGGTGGTTTCAAGAATTAGAATTATAAGTGTTCCCGCAAGCATTGGTATTGGAATTCCTATTATAATTTCTCGAGAAATACATTGATTTGAGGTTTTCTGGATATTCTTCAAAGTTATGATCCTCTCTACAATAAACACAAGATTTAATAGATGCAACCTTCAGCTCATACATACCCCAGGCTTTTTAATTTTCTTTATTATTTCGGTTAATGTTATCATCTGTGTGGCCTCATGTTGATAGCATCATTGTCCATTACTACAACATTACATCTACTCGACATATTCCTTGTATTGGGATATATGTAGTCATTGTTTATATATCATCTCCAATATGTCCTAAGCTTTATTGTAGCTCCTATCAAGTATTTCTCCATTGCTAGAAGCATCAACAACCATCCTCATTTGCATATTCATTGCATTAAAATATTTTCATTTACATCCAATACTTGAAACCATGCGTCGGGCAGTTGCAAAGTAAATCCTTGAAATGTTCCCAAGCTTCATACAATTTCTTATTCTCTATTTGTTTAAATGATGTGATATCATTCCTTAGCTTAGCATTCATATTGAGGGGTTGAAATGCAACAAAAACTTTTTTTCCAATTCATTCTATGATGTTACAACACCGGGTGATAGTGAATTCAACCATGCTTTAGCTTTTTCACAGAGTGATTAAGGGAAAAAATTTAGCTTTAAAGCTTCCTTAGGTACTTTTTCTTGTACAAAAGAGTCACACACTTCCATTAATGCTCTAGGATCTTTGGTAAATGAAACATTATACTTCCTCATTGGCTATAGCATCTGAAAATATTAGAGGCATCATCTCAAAGTGGGCAGCATGGATGGCAGGTCTCATGATGCCAAGATTTAGATAATCTGAATTCAACACAACAAGCTCCCATACATTGTCCTATTACGGTCATCAATGTTGTCAAAGTTTGACGGATTAAATCCATTTCTAGTGTGCAAATCAACACCACCATGTTGCAATCGTGGAAAAGCATTGTTACAATCACTAATGTTAATGTTTGGTTCATTACGGTTTGCTTGTCTATGGCATTGATGCAATGTACATTCAATTTCAGGATCAAATAGCTCTAAATCGTGATTGACTTTATGGGTATGCACTAGCAACATTATACTAAGAAGAATGTACCTAAAAAATGAAAATAACAAAGTTAGTAAAAATAAAGAGGAAAACAACTCTAATGCAATACCATTACTCCATGACAACGGTGTAAAAAACCTGATTCTACAATAAATGCTAAAAGAATCACACAAGTATACATATTGTATTAAAGTAGTAAAGTGTATGATACAAGAGCATTTTATGTCAAACCCACAGAGAGTGAATGTCAAAAAAATTGTAATGAAAATTATCAAAAAGATATATTGTTAAAATGATAAGATAACAAAATGATAGCAAAGTAAAAAAATCAGGATGGAATTGTCAAGCAGTGCAGTAGCATTCAGGAGAGCAATAAATCAAGGGTTTAGCAAAATACATCTATCATTTGGTAGTTCTCATTATGATAATGTTGTAACAATACATTTATGTGACATTTTATGACTAACACTACTTAATCAACTAGATTTAATTTTCACCAATCCAACTAATTAAATGGTTAAGAATGCATAACTATCGGAAACCAATATGTCTCTATACTAAATATACTTTCAAGAATACCAATGTTGGAAAAGGTAGTATGAAAAATCAATAATTGTCATCTCCAAAAATAACAAATTACATACATAAAGATAACTTAATTTCTAAAATAAACTCATTAAAGTAAAATCACATAAAAATGATGTCTAAGCATAAAACATAATAAGAAACATTTCATCAAACACATTATGTTGAAAACCAAATAACATCCAAAACAATGAAATATTCTAACTTAATAATCGTCATTTCCCTATTTCAATCAAAGGAACAAAAAAAATAGAATCCACTTGATCACCACTGCTACATGGCAGTAATCCCCCAACTAATGATATCAACTTCTAAGCATCCAACATTTCATGAGCTTTTTTCTTATAGTGCTCTCCATGGTATACAAACTTAGACTTACTTAGGCTAGTATCGGATGGGACAAACTATTGTGCCCTATATTGTCTTAGCACCATTAGCAGGGACCAACCCCTCCCCACAATCCTAAAAAAGTTATTGAATCAGAATGTCCACAGTTTTACAAGATATCAACATAAGGTAACCATGTGACACACCATGTTATATCTTGATCTATTAAATTCCTGAAGAGTGACACCTAATCTTTTCTTTTCAGATGCTCCAGCCATTAACTGATGAGGAAGTCACCTAATGGTGAGTAAGGATTTAAAAATTATTGACTCCAACCCTCCAGAAGTGGCTACAAATTAAAATGACAAGTAGCTAAACACATCTGATGAAATTACCACCTCTGCTCTTCTACAACTCTTCATAGACCTGAATGTTTTAGCTAAGACTATGGGAATAGGGTTCACCTTCTTTCTTAACCGCTCGAGCAGCTCGACAACGGCTGAGTCCACATGGAAAAGAACTTTTGGGAAAATTATTACACTATAAATTTCCAAAAAAAAATATTTCCATACTTTTCTTAATGTCATTATTCTTAGAAATCAGTCCTTTAATGCACGACCAAGGGAAAAACTACAATTTCCTCTTGTGTTGAATATGATCGATTACCCATTTTTCTCACACTCTAATAATCTTTGCAAGCTTGCTTTTGAAGGATTGTACTCCTTTTATCCTCAAATAAATTCTTTCTAGGCGTACACATTCAAAAAGGAATAGAGAGGTGTACTCTTCCAAAGTGGGCGTCACATCCTCGTTGAAAGTGAAACAATTGTATGCTGGGTTCCAGAACTGGATTAAGGCCTTGATCAACAATTTATTTACCTTTATGTAAAATAATAGAGCTATATCACCATACTTTTTTCCATAACACATACTTGTTATAAGGTATTTAATTTTCCCAAATCTCGCATAGCCCTTGCAGATCATTTTGCTTAAGACTGACTGGTGTGACCTCTAGTAGAACTGATATATATTCCTCTAACAACCTATCACCCTTCTTTCTCTAGGTTTCCTCAAACCATGACCCTACTTGTAACACCCATTTCCCATATACGTTTCCGTACACAAGTCACAGGTGTCACATAACTTTTAAAAAGCATTTCCTTATTTGTAAACCCATAAAAATTTGTTTCTATAAATAAAATTTTTAATATAATAATAATAATATAATAAAATGTTGTTAACTTTTAGTATGTAAAATAGTATTAAAGTTATAGCATATTAAATATTACAATCATCATAAGTCGAATACATTTCAGAGCATTTTCAAAATACTATTACATGCCATCTAAAAATATCAAAATTAGACATATTTGTCATACAATTACTGATGAGGCAACCTTGGATTGATGATATCAGTTGCACTCCTTACTCCACTCGTAATAATACTTACGCGTAAAACCAACACACGCTAAGTATTCACTTAGTGAGGCATAATAATACAAATGAGGTGTAACCTAACCAAAAGTATATTATAAAGTATCAACATACAAATTTTAAATCGTATAAATCATATTAATACATAAACTGGCTTGGTAAACCAAGTTCATTCTCATAACCTGCAAAACAATATTTAATATGCCCAGCATACCTACCATTCAATATTTTTCCCAATTATCCTTTTATTTGCCCAAAGTATGTTGAATGAGAATGTAAGGTACATGCGTTGCACTTAAGTGTCGAAATGGAAATTCACAAACTTATTATAAATTCCATGGGTACACATATAGTGTCGAACGTACATATAGTACTGATACAAAAATGCAACATATGCATTAAACAAAATCGATTGATAACATTTATACACAAACGTATGTCGAAATGGTAATTTATAAACTCCTTATGAATATCATAGTTGCATATCTAGTGCCGAAAGTACATATAGTACTGATACGAAAATACAACACATGCATTAAAAAAATTGATCGATAACCATCATATACAATGTATATTGAAATGCACTTATGACTCTCCATGCACATACAATAGGCTTTTAATTCAAATTCACAGATTAAACATTTATTTCTGAAACATAAATAACTGTTAAAATCATATAATAGTTCATTCATTCATTTTAGTGCAGTTCATACTCTAAAATTATTCGTAAAATCATTTCCATAACCATTATGAATATATATAAAAAATAATGTAAAACATAATTTTATCAAAATATTCGAGGTTGACTCATCGCGAGTCATTCTCATTTCATATAAGTACAAAATAAATGCACTCACCTGGTATGCCTCACTATTATGCCTTAATAATGTCTGACTATTTGACAATTTTATCCTTGCCCTTTTTCTGGCTTGACTCAAGAGCTTGATTACGATCTACACAAGCATCAATAATCCCACATACGATATAAATGTTAGTATACTTACTAACATTTATCCAAAGTAATAATACTCAAAAGTACTATTAATTTTGAATTCTATTAAAATTTATCCTAACTTTACATTTCAAACTGAAGAGTATCGGTACCTATCAATAATTCTCTTCTATTGTACCGATACCCACTTTGGTACCGATACCATTCTAGCATTCTGGAATTTCAATTTTGATTACGGTATCAATATCTATACCTCAGTATCGATACTTCTTTAAATTGGTATTGATATTGTTCATCTGAATCCTCCAATTTGACTTTATAGTATCGGTAATGTTCTTCCAGTACCGATACCCTTACCTATATTTTACCTCTTTTACTTCGAATTTTACAAAAATTTCAGCTAAATCTATTACTTTTATCTCCGACCCATACCATTAAACTCATCATCACTTAACCCAACTAAATTACATACATAAATCTCCTCATAACAACCAAAATCTCCAAAAAATACTCAAAACTAAGAATCACCCTAAATTTTCAAACATGTTTTTAACCACTTTTAAGACTCCCAACCTCTTTTTTACTTCTTTGACAAGTCAAATATGCTTTTAAACTCCAATAACTGACCATATTTCAACAAATCACTTAAAAACTCATTTTATTAAATCTCTAATAAATCACTAATCTCTTAGTTTTAATCATCCTTAAACTTTCCTTAAGCTTCTATATTACTTAAGGTTTCAAAACCAACCCAAAAACGAAAGGAAAAAACCATCTTGAATAAACCTTACCTTTGCTATGGGGAGTACAGGGACGGGAAGAAGAAGAAGAGAACCAAGTTTTTTAACTTTCTTTTCCCTTTTCTCCCTTTTTCAACCCTTAATAAATATCCCTAGAAATGAATATTAAATTCAATTCCTTCTAAAGGACCATAATGCCACTTTATTTTTCCATTCTTACTAATTAATTTTAAATACTATTTCATAAATCAATCCTTATAATTTTCAATTTATTTAAATTAACCCAACAAATTTTAAATCCTTTCACTATAATCACTAACTCGATATTTGGGTATTATAATTCTCCCCTTAAGAAAATTTATCCTTGAATTTTAAGATGTACCTGGTGAAAAGAGGTGTGGATATTGTTT